CGCTTCAAAGAAATCTCACACTGGCTCAGAACTGAGAGCTAGACAGTTATTTATTTGTGGGGAAAACTTACAAATCAGGATTCTCTGCTTGAACGGTGGATGGAGATGAGATCCAACCAAGAAAAACAGGAATCAGGGGTAAGGAGAGAAGGTGCTGGATGCCCTTCAGTATCCAGGTAAATAGTCTATGAGGCCACGCCCCAGTAGGTGGGCAAACCTTCCTGTAGCAGGAATAAGATAATCAAAGTAAACTTTAAAATGTCAACAGGATTGGATGGGCTGGAGGAGCTGGCCACAGATCAGATTGCAGGCCTCTTCCTACTGTACACTCAGGTGATTATGTGGTACATATAGCAACAAAGTTACCTCTGCCCACACAGAAATTTATATTGATGGGCAAAGAATGGTGTGGATAAAAAGATGAGGTGTCAGAACTTCCCGTTTTAGAAAAATTAGCTTGTGCAGAGCCACTGTGGTGTTTTATGACCAAGGAACAAAAGATTTCCATGATTCACGTAAATAAATTCTATAAAGATATAAAATGTAGACACTGTATTATGCCAGAAATTGAATATTAACTGTAGCAGCTTTGGCCTGATGAGTTTTCTTGGGCACTCTGGCTACTTAGAGTTGATAAACAGCTCGGGACATGGCAAACTGCCCAGGCAGGCTTGAAGATTTTCTGTCTATTGTCCTTAAAGCCCTAAAAGCTGACAGTCTGAGAATGGGCTGTCATATGCCTCGAGAAACTTAAAAGTTGTGTTACGGGGTTGATGAGTAAAAATGATTGTAAAAGATAATTTTTTTCTGTCATGGCTCATCAGTGATGACTAAACTTATGACTCCAGTGTGCAAGAGGAAACCAAAAATGATATGATCTGTATTTTGGAACACATGAATCTCTCCAGGCTTACTAAATTCTGTATAAAGAGGCACTCTTGCTGCTACTCAGTCAGGCTACAGGATTCTCTCAACAATCATGCCTGGCTCACTCCCCCCCCCTCCCCCCCGCACCTAGATTCATCCCTTGTTCTTTTCTCTGCCCAGAAGTCCTACCTAACCTCTCCTGCCTAGCTATTGGCCATTCAGCTTTTTATAGTGCAAACAAATATCATGCAACATTTCCTCCTTTTTGTGTAAAAAACTCTTAACACAGTAAAATTATATATGCAGTAATAACAATTATCAAATAATGATTACATTCATAATGTCTAGTTCATTTGTATTTGGCGATTCAGAGAAATTACTCTTTTACCTATCCTATCTTAGTGAGTTCAAAGTTTTATACCTAAACCACTTTCTAGCCGGGCGGTGGTGGTGCACGCCTTTAATCCCAGCACTCGGGAGGCAGAGGCAGGCGGATCTCTGTGAGTTTGAGACCAGCCTGGCTCCAAAACCACAGAGAAACCCTGTCTCGAAAAACCAAAAAAAAAAAAAAAAAACCAAACCACTTTCTATCATAACTTGTATTGCTTACCTAAAAATACCTTTTTAGACCTTAAAACAGTTTCTTAAATAACTTAAACTCTTATGTCTCTCATTCTTATAAACTTTACATCTTTTATAAGTTTCTTTTTTGACTTTAGTAACAAAGAAAATGATATAACTGTCTTAAGTCTTCAACACTATCAGAGACTCAAGAAGGATATAGTATTACTTGAGTAAACAGGAAGTGTAGAGCAAAAACTTCCAGAACTCTAGAAATAACAGAGACAGCTTCTGCCTAGACAGTCACCCAAGGTTACTCTGTAACGTTGGGGCATCCATCTTAGGTCTGCAGGCCTAGAATATCTGACAGACTGTGAAACAGGAATTTTAAAGGACTGTACTACTTTGTCTTAGCAAAGTTCAGCAGTTGCTTTCTTTTGTGTCCTGCTTGTCCAGTTTGGACAGTATATTGTCAGTAATTGAGGCAAGGGCAGTTCTTGACCTAGTTTTGCTACAAAGGAAGCAAAGTCCATATGGAGGTTCTTCAATGCCCTCCATCCTTTTTTTTGAAGTAAATTGGTGCTGCAAGGAGCAGGCATGTCTCAATGTCATGAATAGCCTTTATGTTATTAAAACACTTTTAATGGCATGTTCTGTGGGTTTCTGAAGTTCTGAAAACCAATTTTATATCTAAAATATATCTCTGATGGACCTTGATGGGAAGAGACAACACTCAGTCTCATTCTGAGATTCCTGGAGGCAGGATCACCATTTCAGATTGAGGTAGAGGTAAGAGCCAGTGGCTGTTTTGCTTTTCTGACCTTCACGTTGAACCCAAATATATCTCTTGGTTTTTATTAATCATGCTTCAGGTTTTATCCCGTTGCATCCCTACATGTAGCTCTTCCTTTGGGCTAGTGTAGGCCTTCATCATTTCTTGCTTGAATACTATTAGCAATCCAACTTTAAAAAACTTGCTGCCCCTTTCAGCCTATCTGCCACAAATTGCCAGCCATTCAATACCTCTATTTGCACAGTTATTCTATTGCTTTTGGGATGGATTGTTATAAATTGGCAGAAGTGGTCCATTATATTTAGGTCCCTGTGCACTGTTCCTTGGGTTCTTTCTGCTGTGTGCATCATTCACTGTGAGAGTACCTTGTACATGTCACTCTGCCCTCACATATGCTTTTCAACATGCCCTTTTGTTGGGTTTCTGTGGCCTTGCAAACTCAAGTTTGTTTTGCTGACACCTCTGCTTCCTTGTGTTTCCATGGCCATCTTTGCACTTTTTATATCTGTTAGGCCATGGGCTCCCAGAATGTAGCATCATTCGTTGTTCTGTTCTGTGATAAGACTAAACTCAAAGCCGGGCGGTGGTGGCGCACGCCTTTAATCCCAGCACTCGGGAGGCAGAGGCAGGCGGATCTCTGTGAGTTCGAGACCAACCTGGTCTACAAGAGCTAGTTCCAGGACAGGCTCCAAAACCACAGAGAAACCCTGTCTCAAAAAACCAAAAAAAAAAAAAAAAAAAAGACTAAACTCAAGACTTTGTATTACTATATGCTTTAATTACAAATTTTTAAAAATCTTTAATTCTATTTTTCTTACTAGTTTATTAATGTTTATTGTGTCTTGGTGACTATTATTGAAAGTCAACTTCTCAAGACTGATTCTCATGAATAATTTAATGTTACTAATGCTTATATTGTATCTATTTTGAAATACTTTAATTTACTCCTTGTAGCTATAATGATCCAGCCTTCTATGAAGAATGCAAACTGGAATACCTCAAGGAAAGGGAAGAATTCAGAAAAACCGGAGTTCCTACCAAGAAGAGGCTACAGAAGCTTCCCACAAGCATGTAGGCAAATAGTGAGTCAGGAAGCCACTTGCAATATAACCCAAAAATAATGGACTGAAAAAAATGTTTGCTCACCTAATCATGAACTACCGATTCTTTTGTATGAAATAAAATTCTTTATTTCAGAGTTCTAGTTTATTAAATATGGGATAGGAGGAAAACTAAATGGAATGTTTTCTGTTTTTTTGTCGTTGTGTTTAAGTTCTTCCACAACTCTGACTGTAGGCACAGAGCTGATGGTCTCAGAATTCCGTAAGTACATTACCTTCTTCCGATCATGCAGGCTGAAGCCTAGCATAGGATAAGAGCCATCAACTCTGCTCATGGCAACTGGACTTCACTCCAACACTGAGTGTGCTACTGTGGGCACCAGTCCCAGTGTCTGTGACAACTTAGCCAGCCTTGCCAGAAGATTGGGTATATAGGCAGGGCTTTGGCCTTTACATGGGCTTATTTGAAAACACAGATGAAGTTAGGTGAATTAATTTTCTGAAACCTTTGGAAAAGTTTCTGCACTATGTTTTTTGATCTTTTCAACTTCATATAATCTCTGATTTTAAGAAGTTGTCAAGTGTGAACTTCTGTAACACTGGGGATTCGGGAGGAGGAACTGTGGTTAAGTTTCTGCTCCAGTGTGTTAGTTTGAGCCTTGGCTGGGCTTATTTATTTATTCATTTATTCATTCATTCATTTATTTATTTATTTATTTATTTTTTCCACCATGTTCTTAAACAGAAAGATAAGATTTAGCTTTGGCTCCAATCCCATGAAAACATTTTTTTTTTTCTCATTCAAATGTGTGCTAAGTTTCACACAGTACTCACCAAAGAACTATTTTACTCCTGTCAAAGAATCCATTTTCTCAGACCACAGAACAGTAAGAGGTGGCCAAAGGCGAGCAAATACAGTAAGTCTAGAGACTACAGAATGGAGAGTCTGTTGCCACTGGTGCATCTTATAATTCACAGGGCCACAGTTCTTGTTTTCAGTGACTCAAAGAAAAGGTGTTGCAGTTGTTGTAAGAAGTGAATGAAGTTGTAACAAGATTTTTGTTGTGTGTCATATAATCAATAGGTATTAGACAAATTGCTTATAGTCATCTCTTGTACCTGCTGCAGATGTATCTTTGGTATACAGGGTTTCAGCAGTTGCACACTCATAGGGCATGTTTATTCTTGACTTACATATGCATTCAGTTTTATTTTGGCCTCAACTCAATACAAGAATCTTTAGAGGTGTAGGTTTTTCTCGGGCTAATAAGTTATCAAGAGGGAGGAACAGGTACTTCTAGTATTGAGTTACAGGTGTGCTTAACTGGATTTCCTTACCAAAAGAAACCCAGCTATTCCAGAAAATTTCAAGGGAAACACTTTGGAGTGTTAGGCTAATATGAAAAGGACTAATAAAAATGCCAATTTTAATGAATCACAAAATACAGATAGTACCATGCCACCTCTTCAACCACAGGGTTGACTAAGTGTATACTTAAGCATTTCTGGCTAGGTAAAAATATTTTGGGGTTCATCTTTTCTAGCTAAGGGTTCTTACACAGGTCATTAACACTTAAACTGTTAAGAGCATTAATCCAGCTGTTGTAGCATTCCTTTTTGATAACTTGTTACTACTAGGAAGAGGGAATGTTTGAGAAATAAAATTAATACCAGACTTTGGAAATATACATAGGCAAGGACATTATTTCACATCCAACTCCATTTTAAAAACAAAAATAATTTTAATTAAAACAATTTCTTGGCATTGTTCAAAACATTATAAGCCTCTGTTTACAAAGGAAAACTTCTAATCTTGGTTTAAAAAAAGGCAAACCAGTAAGCTATATTAGACACAAGACAGATGATGGATAGCTCCACAGCCACATGAGCAATGTCTCTGCTTTATTATTGTCTGTCTTGTATTACTATACAAGATCTGAAATCCTTTAAATCCTTTAAATTCAGGATATATGAAATGCCATTTAGGAAGTCTTACATCAAACAGGTAATACATGATTACTAATACTCTTAATGCTTCAACCCTGAAGGAATTTAGATGAATTTCCACATGAAACCATCTTTGTTATGTCCTTAGTTACTCACAGGTGACTTGCCAATTAGAATGAATTTGGATATATTTTGTAATTAGACAGCACAAAATTTAGTTCTAGATGCAGTTAAATAAAAATCACTTTCTCAGATATCATACCACAGTATCAAAGCTGCTCTGTGTAAGACAAACAGCTGTCCTGCCAAAAATGACCATGACACACAAGAGGCCACTAAAGATGCTGCTCTTTCCACTTCTGACTGCATGTTGTGTAGGGTTATATAGTTTACTCACACACCTTATCATTTTTAACACTTAGGATTTGAATATAGTGGGGAAAAGTTGGCCTCAATGGTCATTAGTTCAAGTCTTAGAATTCAAATTGCATTTTAAAATTGTATACACATTTTACTTAAAAATGATTCTAAATCTTAAAACTTGAAACACAATAGCATAGGTTTAACCTACTTTTATTCTATTATATTTCAAATTCTTATGCATCAGGAAGTCAAAGGAACACAACCTATTCACACTGCCATTTGCTTCTCGATACAATCTGAAGCAGCAGACATGGGTTTTTTTTTATATTAAAGGCTGCTTTTTATTTAATGAGTAGGTATTTAGGCAGGTCACATACTTTATGAAACCATGTCTAGAATTTCCATTTCCATTCTTAATCCAAGAAGCAAAACCTTTTAAGTGTTATTAAAGGTACAACTGGAAGTTTTCATACTGGAAATCCACTATATATAATGTTGTACAGAATGTACAAATGTACATATTGGAGAACTGCAAGGTTTTATTCAAAGTCCACTTCCAGTCTAAATAACCTCTTGGTAAACCAGTGGGAGTTGGCGTCCTCCTGTTCAAATCAAGAGTCCCATCAAATTAACTTTTGTAAATACAGTTCTGATTATGTTGATCCAAGTAATGCAGGGGTGGCAAGTTGGGTAAAGGTAAGGTTTTGTTTTTATTTTCGCCAAATGCTGTCTCACTTGATTTAGGAGGGCTTGGGAATACCCAAGAATTATCTTCCAGAGAATTTCTGCCATAGGAGCTGTGCTCCTCAAAGTCTGTACCATCATTAGGGATCCGTCTCTCGTTATCTGTCCACGACTGAAGAAATGCTTTCTCTGATAAAACCTTTATATCTCCTGGTAAAGGACATGAAGCATAACAAGCAGCTTTGCCATTTGGTGACAAAGGGGGATGTCTTTTGTATGTTGCAGTAAAATTTGTCAAGTGCAATTTCGTGCTGTCTCTCCCAAGGTCTTCAACACATCCTGCTGGGGTGCAGGCTACAAAGGAAGCACAGGCTAAGGGTCAGTTTCCTAGCAGTTGTGGCTGTAAACATGTCATATACTAACTCTGTAACCGACACTAACATGAACACTGCCAGTTCAGTATGTTCATCAGGAAACTGGTTTGGAGATTCTGAACAGATCTGAGTTCTGACAGACCACATACTTACTGCCACTGAGTTAAGGTCATTCCCTCAGCAGCAAGTGGATGTAGGAGTCCCTTCCTGCCATGTCCTGCTGATGCAGTCTCCAAGACATAGGAAGTGTCATCTCTTTACAAGGCAAAGACCAGTAAAGCTCTTGGCCTTCAATGTGGCGAGTTTTAGAGCATATTGGTGCCAGTGGGGACTGAGAAAAGTAGTAGCGGTTTTAAATATATTCCTTTGCTTATTCAAACTTCTCTGTGGGAGAGGGGCCAAAAATAACTTATTTTTATAAATATACTTTGAATTCTTAAGAATCAAATGAAATTTTAACATATATTCAATGGTTTTTTGGATAAAGCTTTAAGTTAAATTTCTTAGAATAAATACAATGATTAATATAATTCTGCTTTAGTCAACATAAAAGGAAATAGGTCTTTCATGCATACAATGGCTTAGGAAAGACCGCTGTGAGTAGTATTTCGCCACAGCCAGTGCAGGCACACCGCAGCATCTTCTACTCTTCTCATTCAGTCTGCTACAGTTGGAAGCTACATTTTTTCTCAACTTAAGGCTGACCCAAGTGGACTGAAGGCGTGGCTGCATGCAACCTAATTATGTGTGGGTGTGGGTGTGAGCATAAGAATGCAGGTACACACACACACGAACATGAAGGTCAGAGGACAACTTTCCGGAGTTGGTTCTTTGCTTCCACTTGTTCTTTCCTCACACTTGTAGGTGAGCCCTTCCAGTTGCAGAGCCATCTTGCTGGGTCAACTCATGTAATTTTAGAAGAAACAAACTGAAACATTTGTGTGGGGGAGTAGGAAGGGTGAATAGAGAGAAAAAACTGAAAGTAATTAATTCTTCTGGGCAGTAGTGATGGGCAGGTCAGCAGTAAGTAAGCCATAACCCTTCTACTTAAAACCATGACTTTAGGGACTCGTGACCCCTGGTCACCTGGACTTAACACTGTCAAAGGAAATGTTCTAGAAACTGACAGTGCAAAGGCATTAAAAGCCTGTGTTCTCAGTCAATTAAGAAGGAAGACAAAATGGAAAGAGTTCTTTTTTTCTGCTGCTTTGGAACACACTACTTCTGATATAAGTTGTACTGACAGCTTGCTCCACACTAGCTGATGCCCTCTAAGGGCAGTCTGACTTCTGCTATCCACCTATGGTGTCTTCATAAGTAAGCTGAACTACTGGAGAACGAGGGAAGGTGAACCATAAATTAGGTTATGCTTGCCTAACACCACATTAATTTGCCTGATTCTTAAGTACCCAACACTGCAGAAATCAAAAAAAACTTTGAATTCCGCCCCCTCCCCCCAATGTGAAACATTTCCCTTACAAACACTCCTGAGAATATTTTTGAAAGAATTTTCTTGTTCTCCTTTAGGACAATCAGAGGTGCAAATAACAATTTTATATTAGATGCTGATCACCTTTCAAAGTCATCACATTCCTTTGAGAAGTAAACTTAAGGCATTGAATGTATACTGTATGCGTCAGACATAAACCTTTCCTGCAATGGGAGATGCAAACACTCACAAGAACAGCGCTGGCAAAAGTGCCCACTACTAAGTTAACAAAAGCTCAAAAGCTTTAGTCAAACAATGCATGTAAAAAGAAAGCAACGAAAAGTTTTTGTTGAGTCTGCCTTCAATCAGACATCCTGTATGGAAAAGAAAGCCTCTAAGAAAATGTCAGGAACTAAATGAATCAGAGTTGTTTTGAAAATGAAGAGCTAGGTCTTTGGTATACTTCGCAGTACTGAAATGAAACTTTGGTTTGGAGTTCTTTTTAAATATATAGTTGTGGTGAAGGGCCAACTAGAGCAAACCTAACACCTCAGCCTTAGACATGAGCAACACTTGGCTGAGAAAAGCCACAAGGGGAAAGAATATAGTACTGAAGAAAAAACACCAGCAACACCTTTATGTGTGAAGCTGACCAGCTAGAGACTGAAGCCGCAGCAGGGAATGGGTGGAGTGGACACACTGCACACAGCCTGTGTATCAGTCATCGGATGAGATTTTGCTAAGATAAAGTAGCTAGCTGATCCTCAGACAGTGTGGCTGGAGTCGGCATCTCCAGCCAGCAGGGACTTGCCTTTCTTGACTGCAGCTGAGGTCTTCAGTTTCCTGAGAAGTTCTGCTTGCACCTGCGTCACCAGGTGTAGGTTAGACATCTCCCTCTTCAGCTCCCAGTATGCGTGCTGCATGTTATCACTAAAATGGAATTTTAAAAACAAGTTATACTAGTCCTTCTTAGGTGTAAAGGGGAATAACTTTACAAGCAAGCAGGTTTATTTTTATATTGTTTTCTGACAATATAAATGAAACTAAATATATTTAATTGGAATGTTTTAAGTGAAAAACACCTAGGGATAACATTGCCCCAATTTCAAGCAATAGCTACTGTAACAAGCAGATTATGATAAACATTCTAACCATTGAGTTTCTTACTGGCTCTTAAAACCAAGGGTTTATTTTAGCCAAAACTGCACAGTGCTGTTAGTAAAATTAGTAACTAGTAAGAAATACGTTTCTCCTTTGTCAATCTGATCAAGAATAAAATTGCATTTATTCATGTCTGGTCTCTGAGTCCATCTTTATCTTTGGATTGTTTTGACACTGTGAAATGAAGTAATGAGGAGATACCCGAGACCACATTACGGCAAAATTGAGGCTTCATGCATTACATTCTTTATGTCTGACTGGGCTGTCTCATACTGTTGGTTCTAAACCAATGTGACATGACAGCACAAGACATTAGGAGTCACATGACTTTCCCCATAACTAAGCAGCAGCTAGAGAAGCAGATTATAGGAAACAGAACTTCAAAATGCCTTTCCATAGTTTTATAATGAAAAGGATTTTATCTCAGAATCTGAAATTGTTTTATATCTAATTTTAAAAGCTTTTATTGTCCATTAAATTCTCTTAGGCCCATGATTTTCTTTAGGTTCGTAATTGCCAACTAAGTGAACTGAAATCTTCAGCACATATTCTTTTTTTACTGCACAGTCATACCTGAATTAGTCAATGTAAGAACTGACTCCATAATATTAGAACAACCACTATTACAGGTTCGAGAGTGTAAGTAGTATGGGAAGAAAACAAAGCAAACACGCTACCTCATGCTTCAATTTTTTTCTGTCTAATAAATAGAACTTAAAAGGGATAACCCTGAAATCTGAATCCAGTATCTAATTAAAGAAGCAATAGGTATTTTAAAACAAGTTAAATTGTGTGAGGTAAAATTTTATCTCTTTTAACAACGTATTTCTACCCTACTTGGGCTGCAGTTTTTGTATTATGAACTATACTGCTTTGAAAAAAAATCTCGCATTTTAAATATCATTATTTATCCTCTGGTGTATTTAACCAGCTCTACATCAGAACCAGTAAACAATGGAGATGCTTTTTACAACTGCTGTTGTATAACGAAGTCTGTCTTCAGTGTGAAGAAGATTGCTGGTTCCATGTAAAATTCTGGACAGTGGATAGTTTCAAAGAGTCATTTCAAAGTTGGGTCCTCTACTGAAACTCAGGCACACAGGCATGAATAATATAGTTTGAAAATAGTTTATTGTTATAAAATGGTGAATTTGAACCTAACTTTAAAAATATTCATGATACTTGGGTACTCAAACACCAAGTACACGTCAAGTAAAAGATGATTATAAAGGTGTTAGTATCAATACCTAAAGTACATGTTAAAAATTCAATTTAATGATGATTGCTTAAAAATGAGGGTAAGATGAAACTACATCACCAAAATTTGTCCTTTGCTCTTAGTGTCACCTACACTAAAACTACAGATTAAAAAGATACGTGGACTGTGGGAGAAATACCTAAGAAACGGCTCAGAAGTTCAAGAGTGTTGGATGGAGGCTGCTTGTGGTTCCTGGCCGCCTGGCTAGCTTAGACCCGAAAATAATCACACAGAAACTGTACTAGTTAAATCACTGCTTGGCCCATTAGCTCTAGCTTCTTATTGGCTAACTCTTACATCTTAATTTAGCTCATTTCTATTCATCTGTATATCACGACGAGATCGTGGCCTACCAGCAAAGTTTCAGCATGTCTATCTCTAAAGGCCATGGCATCTCTCTGACTCGGCCCTTCTTACTCCCAGCATTCAGCCTAGCTTTCCCTGCCTACCTAAATTCTGCCTTGCTATAGATCCAAAGCAGTTTCTTTATTTATTAATGGTAATCACAGCACACAGGGGACTTCCACATCACAAGAGTGCTTACTGCTCTTGCAGAGGACCAGAATTCAGTTCCTTGCATCCAACTGCCTTTAACTCTAGTTCCAGGGACCCAATGCCTCCTCTGGCTTCTACAGGCTCCTGCACACCTATTGCCCCCATAAACATGCAGGTTCACAAAACACATGTACATAAAAAGATACATTTTAAAACCCTAAGATGGGTTGGCAAGTGACCTGAGTTAAACTCCTGGAAGCAAGGAAAGAGTGAAGCTGAGATCAACTGTACTGTTCTCTCCGACCCCCACGCAGGCTCTGAGGCACACGTCCACACTGCCCTCCAATATCTAAGATTGTTACTGTTCACACACAGGCTCTGAGGCACACGTCCACACTGCCCCCAATATCTAAGATTGTTACTGTTCACACACAGGCTCTGTGGCACTCGTCCACACTGCCCCCAATATCTAAGATTGTTACTGTTCACACACAGGCTCTGAGGCACACGTCCACACCGCCCTCCAATATCTAAGATTGTTACTCTAAGATTGTTACTGTTCAAACACAGGCTCTGTGGCACTCGTCCACACTGCCCCCAATATCTAAGATTGTTACTGTTCACACACAGGCTCTGTGGCACTCGTCCACACTGCCCCCAATATCTAAGATTGTTACTGTTCACACACAGGCTCTGAGGCACACGTCCACACCGCCCTCCAATATCTAAGATTGTTACTATTTACAACTCCTCCTCTTGTGGATAACGACATCAAAGCATTATCTTTAAAGTGTGTGAAAATGATTGGTAATTCTATGTGTGTGAACAAATGCTGAAGCCATTATATAAGAAATGAAAAGGCAAGTTATCTCTCAACTTCTCAGGAGGGTTCCAAGTGTTTTTGAGCCTATGCATGGACTGCATACCAATACCACTTTGGCCTACTTTCTTTTTTTTTTTTAATTTTTTATTTTATGTGCATTGGTGTGAAGGTGTCAGATCCCCTGCAACTGGATCTTCAGACAGTTGTGAGCTGCCATGTGGGTGCTGGGAATTGAACCCGGGTCCTCTGGAAGAGCAGTTAGTGCTCTTAACCACTGAGCCATCTCTCCAGCCCCCAGGCCTACTTTCTTTAATGGGTGTATAATCCTAACTTGCTTTAAATGACATAAGGAAAATACATTTTGTGTATATAGTTGCTTCTAAAAAACTTGTATTGCAGTTTCTTGAGTACTAAAATGATAGTCACTGTACTTGAGAGCCCTGAAAAATAACACATAGGAATAATGATGGCTAAGTATTCATTATGTGCTAGGCACTTGATCACATTCTCATACCATCTTGGCAAAATGGCTGTGTGAGCCAGTGTTCTGTCACCTTGACACAGGCTAGAGTCATTGGAGAGGAGTGAGCCTCAACTGAAAAAAATGCCTCCATAGGGTTAGGATGAAGGCAAGCCTGTAGGTCATTTTTTAAATTAGTGATTGGCATGAGACGGTCCAGTTCATTGTGTGTGGGGGGAAGGGGGCACCCTTGGGCAGATAGTCCTGGATTCTATAAGAAAGCAGGCTAGGCAAGCCATGGGGCAAACCAGTAAGCAGCGCCCCTTCACAGTCTCTGCATCAGCTCCTGTCTCCAGGATCCTGCCCTGTTGGAGTTTCTGTCCTGACTCCCTGATGATGAGCAGTGATGTGCAAGTGTAGGCCATGGTGTTTCATCACAACCACGGTCACCCTGACTAGGGCAGGGAAATCTCATTTTGCCCACGATCAGACAGGTTCAGAAGTCAACTCCACAAGATTGCCTTTTCAAAGCTGTCTTACTTAGCCACTCTAAGTACTGATCACACTGCCCTTTTAGGGGACAATATTTTCTTAGGCATTGTTATTATATTTACACCATGTACCTGTAAAGGGGTTAAGGGCCCACACAAATAGGCTTATTCTAAGTACAAATTTTCACCCCTCTATCTGTCTGCATCTTAGGAGAGCATTCTATGTTCTGTTCAGAAAATACTATAAAGTCCTGATCTGTTAACCAACACTATATAACAACCTTTTTGTAAATGAATACTGTTTATGACAAAAAAGGAGAAAACTCATCTATGATTCCACTTTCAGACATACTGTTTTCTTTAGCATTTGAAAATTCACTCCATTACCTTAAAGAAGCGGTTTTCAACCTGGGAGTCCTGACCAGGACACCAGATATTTACATTATGATTCATTACAGTAGCAAAATTACAGTTATGAAGTAGTAACAAAATAATATCATGGTTGGGGTCACCAGAACATGAGCAACTGTATGAAAGGGCTACAGCATTAGGAAGGTTGAGAACCACTGCCTTAAAGGAACTAAAATGGTATTTGTTATAGAAGTAAAAGATGGATACTTTGAAAATTGTAATTTCTCTAAAAAAAAGTCTTTCAAATATACTTGATAAGTACGGCATAGCAGGTCAGGTCAAGCCTACTGGTAAGTAACTGTTGAATCATTTTTATAAATACATGATGACCAGAGATTACAGCCGGCACCCAGAGTATCTGCTCCTATGGTTAAAGCTCAAGCACATCATGAAGGTGGAAAGCACACAGACCTGTGGAGAAGGCCCTGGTGTTGAGTGTGCTCCTCCCTCGACAAGCTTGCTCTGATGAGATCTCTGTCCCGCAGAATGTCTTCCTGAGATGGACCCTGTCATGTGTTTAACAAAGAAAAGAAAGGAATTATTTCAGCTTTCTCAGTTCTTGACCATCACAGATGTTTCAACATCCGCAGAATACGTTTATAATTGTATAAAGTATAAGACTAGATTTCAGACTCAATTTTAATCAAACACCGCCACTATCCCCAAAATGTCCAAATCACTTTCAGTTATTTGGAGCGTTCATGCTTTCATTTTCCTTTTAAATGTGTTTGCATGAGTTTGGAGTCCTATAAAACATACGTTTGAACATATCGAAGTGTAACCCATTACATTACTGTTTAAGGTATATTTGCGTGAATTCTATGGAAAATGGGAGGTTTTGGCATTATTTCTGTACACCCCCCCAAAAAAAAAGCAAAAAATGGACAAGTTACTGTTTTAACCATCGAGCCATCTCTCTAGCTCCAAATTTATTTACTTTTATGTGCACTGGTGTGTTGTTGCCTGCATGTATATCTGTGTAATTGTCAGGTCCCCTGGAACTGGAGTTACAGACAGTAGTGAGTCACCATGTGGATACTGGAAATCAAACCTGGGTCCTCTGGAAGAGCAGCCAGTGCTCTTAACCACAGTTACTGTTTTAAGACATACATTTCCTCATAAAATGAATGACCTGGTAAGAACTTTCCTGTATGTGTAAATATTTTCGTCTTTATTTTCAAAAACTACATAAGAAATTGATTCCAATTTCAGAAAAAGCAATTTTATCTCTTAAAAAACCCAACAAACCCCATGCCTGAACAGTGTTCTCACTTGGGAAACGCTACAGAATTTTATCTTATTTTCCATCAAATGCATATGGGCCCACTGGTTTTATTTTTCTTGCGGTGGGCAGAGGAGAGACTGTCGTGTTTTAAAAGCATCGCATTACATTAGAATCATTCTCAGGAAATGTGGCCGAGGTTTCTAGTTGTCTCCTCGGCCTGTTCTCATCTTCTTCACTGATAATGGCATTTGATTTGGGGTTCGGTACTGTGACGCCAGCTCAAGACTGCATTTCCCAAACTCCCCTGCAGGTACAGCCTTGGCAAGAACTTCTTCCAGTCCCCACATCCTCCAAGCTTTTATTTATTTATATTGTAGGTGTGACACAACAAAACGAAGCCACACCTCTAAAGATACTTTTAAAGAATCTGATGTACTCGTGATCTTCTCTAACAGTCTCACAGGTATTAATTTGTTTATCAGGAGGAACTGCTGGTGTAAGGATGAAAAAAATTTACTTAATACTTATATAACATAAATTATAGACCAGGCATGTGGCTCACTCCCATAATCTAATACTTGGGAGATGAGGAGGACTGCCATAAGTTTGGGTACAGCCTGGGCTACATAGTGAGTTCTGGGCCAACTTGGGATACAGAATAAAGGTCTGTCTCAAAAGTACCATCTCAATGCTACACTTTAGTGTAACAAGGGAAAGCTATTAGGACTTCACATATACCCTACATTTGATGTACTGCAGTATAGGATTTCAAATAGTTTGGGGCCCTGGCTTTACTGCAGTGACAAAGTGCATGTGGACAGCCTGTGGAGAAGGAGAGACAGAATCAGCATCAGGGAGGTCTGACCACCAGCATCGGAGACATGCTCTGGGTTGTTCTTTACTGCTCTCCATAGAATAGAAATGAAAATGATCCTCAGACCCCTTCAGTTTTTGTGTCATAAATTAAAAAAATAGGCTCCTTAGTGAATATTTAAAATACACATTTACTGGAAACCTTCTCTTGAAAGCCAACAATACAAAATAAATATTGTTAGGATAAGAAAATAGTTTTATACTTACTGTCACTGCAGAAAAGGTTGAACCTAGACCAGCAAAAATTAAAATCCTCAAAAGGATTGTCCTTAACATGCAAAAACTCCTTACGGAAGTGAGTAGGCTGCACTGCTGTGAACAGCACTCTTGGGAATTCCCTCAAGGTCCACATGTCCACATGCACTATAGCTTTCCTGGGACCTTCACTACACTGCCCAACACTAGGGCCCCACACTGGTTATTTACTTTAACTCAATGTATTATATCACTGTGGCTGAGTCTGAACTCTCAGAACCAACTGCTCTGAATGTAAATGGCCAGGGTAAGGTGTTGGGAAAGCCCAGCAGAGCCACCTCTGAAATGCTGACCTTCCTAAGAGCAAACACTAGTAGCCAAGTTTGCAAATAGTCAATAGAGAGCTACTAGTATGACCACAAAGGCTGCTGCTACACACCCTGAAGGTATCCTAAACTATGTGTCACATAAATGGTGTCTTAGCATTTTAAAATTATGGGCAGAGTAGACACAGACAAGTTATGAATGTGAAAATAAACTACTTTCTTTGGCTCATTCTTAAATTTCTATATCCAAGAAGATTTTACTCAGATTTAAAAGTACATAAAACCTCATAGTTTTAACTTGGAAACCTTGGGGGAAAGCCACCGGCTCCTGTTAGTTTGTGTCTTAGCATCAGGTGTGGTATTTTTCACAGTAAGACCCCCTGCTGTCAAGAATGCAGGACTAGGAAAGCAGCACAGCCTTCAGGTTCTCTTGCCCCTTCAACACTCCTCCCTACCTCACACCAAACTCTAAAGGTTTCTCGCCTCTCAGAATTCATGTCATCATCAGTTTAAACTGATGGAACTTTCAAAAGGTTCTTGCACTTCTAATAACCTGTTTCTATGAACTGCTAGCATATGATAGATATAAACTAAAAGCACATTTATTCCCTAGCACCACCTAGTGGAACAGAATAAGTAAGAAGAACCACACTCCACTTCCACAGACACTGTCTTTCTGAATTACTCTAAACAAATTTCTTTTTGTTTTAATGTATGTACTGAATACACTCTGTCCATGTACTATGCTAACCTCTTTATACAATCCCTAACTTAACATTTATGAAAAGAGAGTTATTTAATGCCCATAGAAAATAAATTTCTTGAATGTAAATGACATTCCTAATTTCCATATTCAATAAAAAACACAGTGAGGGGCTGGAGAGATGGCTCAGAGGTTAAGAGCACTCACTGCCTGCTCTTCCAAAGGTCCTGAGTTCAATTCCCAGCAACCATATGGTGGCTCACAACCATCTGTATGGGGTCTGGTGCCCTCTTCTGGCCTGCAGGCATACACACAGACAGAATATTGTATACATAATAAATAAATAAATTTAAAAAAAAAAAACACAGTGAGCCAGATTTCTATGATCGCATGGTACTGTTTCTCATTCTATAGTGAAAAGTATATGTATAAAATGTAAACATACTTTATTTATAGAAGCTATCAAATTATTTCCTTTCAAAAAGAGAATACACACTGACAATGATTCCGAGTTTCAAAGTGCCAGTCTTCTCTAGCAGGCAAGCGAGCAAGCAGCTGTTTTCAAGGGACTCATTAGTGGCTGCGGTCACTGAGCTTATGGAACAGAACGCTCAAGTACGGAGAAATGGTGATATCTAGCCAGCCACAAGTTTAAAGGTAGGGCAGTAATGTTTAGTGCAGTCAAGTAACAGAGACAGAAACCATTTGGGCTCTAAGCCAAGTAGACATCAATTTTTGGGGTGCTTTCTTTTACCAGGTCCAGGGTTTCCAATATGGCTTCTCACTGTCCAGAATGGATGAAGTTAGTCAGGTGGAAGCAGAAAGCTCCCGTGCTCTGACATGCGCTCATTCTCAGCGGGCACTGACAGATAAAGACTACATTCTACAAGAGAGAAGTGTGAGCACATCTGCCACATTTGGGGTATGGGTACAAAACTCTGGCTGAGTCAGAGAATGGCAAGCACTCCACTTTTAGAAGGTGACCTCCAGGGAAAAGTAGACAGGAGTCCTTAGCAGTATGTAAGGCTTTGATAGGCAAATAGTTGAGGTGAGGATTTAAATACACAAATGTAAAAATATTCTGGTGCCATTTTTTCATATTCCCCGGCTTCATCTGAAAACTCAGCTGTTTTTGAACCCAGGGTAAATCATGGTAAACAGACTCCTAGGGAGAAACTGAGAGGCAGTCTGCCAGTCTGCGTGAATGGATGACTTTAGGCTAAGCATGCTAGGGTGGAGGCAGTCTGCATGAACGGGTGACTGTAGGTTAATCAAGCTATGGCAGCAGACTTGGCAGATGTTTTTCTTGTTCATTTTCCTAATTCTTGAATTCTCAAATGTTTTGAGTCTTCTGAAAAGAAACAGGCTATGTAAGGCTTCCTTTGTTAGTGGTAAGCTTGTTTTTTCCCCCCAAGAATTCTATAATGATGTCTCTTTTGTCTAAACTAACCAAACTGTTAGGTTAAATAAAATGGAAAAAGTTAAAACTAAGTTCTCTTTAAAATTTTCAGACACATTCAAAATGAGAGGAACCCTATGGAAGGGAAGTTTGGGGAAAATTAAAATAAAAATTAAATTATTGGTGGTTTGAATGAGAATAGTCCTCCTGGGCTAAGTTTAAATGCTTGGTCTGCTGTTGATACAACTGTTTAGGAAGGGTTGGGAAGCATGGCCCTGTTGAAGGAGGTGTGAGTGACACTGGAGGGTGGGGCGGGAGGTGGAATTTGAGGTATAACAAGCCCATGGGATTCCAGATAGCTCTCTTTCTCTGTCTTGCGCCTGTGAATCAGATGTAAGCTCTTTGCTATCGCTCCAATACCCTGCGTGCCTATTGCTATGTTCCCGGACATGATGATCATGGAGTTAAACCCTCTGGAACCTTGACCCCCAAATTAAATGCTTCTCTTATAAATTGCTTGGTAATGGTGTTTTGTCACAACAATAGAAAAGTAACTAAGAAATAGTTCAATATACATTTTAAATCAAGTCTTAAAATTATATTCTTAGGTGAGAATGAATATATAGGATATATGAAATCCTAGCAACAATGAACATTCTATGACTATAATTAATTATAGACCTATGACTTAGTACTTAGTTACACAACCTATATATGATTCACGAAGTGCACAAAGTTCCCAATGTAACAATGCTGAAGTACCATCTGTTTGGCTTTCTGCAGCTCTACTTTGAGATCGTTGCATTCCTTCCTCATGAGCTCCAGCTCTTGTTCCAAACCATGGATCTTCAAGTCACAGCTTAACTTTTCTACCTCCCAGTTAGATGAGGGTGGATTTAAATTCCTCATCACTAGAAAAAAGATAGACAACAAAATAGTTATTTTTGCTTTTAATACCAAATACAGTTCCTAGGTGACACTGGTAAAATATCAGTAAGTAACCAGCACAAAACAAGCATAAATACTAAGGCTCAGCCAGCATCATGAACTCCATCAAAGTTTGCAATTTGACTGACAGAATGCATGTCAAAACAACTTCACTCTTAAACACCTGACTATGGAACTTAACACAGCTGGACCCTACAGTACCTGACTATGGAACTTAACACAGCTGGACCCTACAGTACCTGACTATGGAACTTAACACAGCTGGACCCTACAGTACCTGACTATGGAACTTAACACAGCTGGAACCTACAGTACCTGACTATGGAACTTAACACAGCTGGAACCTACAGTACCCGACTTAGTCCTTCATTTCTCCATCTCCAAAATGTCCCGCCCATCAACCTGCGAAGATCTCACATTGAATTTTTTACTGAAAGGTCTGTCAATAGGTGTTTCTTTTGCTTATCTCACGAGACTGTAGATGGGAACAAGGCTATCATCTCTATTTCCCAGACAAACTTTCCTTTTCAGCATCTCATCTATACATTTCATCAACTTTCAGGAAGAAAAAGATTTAAGAGACAATCAGGCCACTCCATGACAACATGTTTAACTGTGGGCAGTAAGTTCAGTAGGAAGGCCAAGTCAGGAGAACTCAGTGGGTGAGCATTTTGGAGAGGATGGGGTTTTGTCTTTGCTCCTCTACTTTATCATGCACTGCCCTTGAATAAATACATCACATCTTCTGTAGGGAAAGTACAATTTTCAGATAAAGAAAAGTTAGTAAGATATTGTGTGAAAAAAAGAACAGAAAAAATTAGCCTTTATCATACAGATATAGGAAACGGATTATGAATATAACACACAAATGGAAAGATCAATTAATTCTATTAGAATATTCATAATAAGTAAGTGGCATACCCTGCTGAGTTTCCACCTCTGTTCTTAGCTGCAGAAGCTCTACTTCTTTAGACTGTAGCTGTTCATTCAATACTTTCAAAGATTCAGTGTTGTCTTTATTCTAGTTAAGTAGGGAAAATGCCAAATTACAGTCAATAAAATCTCTAGGTTTGTCTTATTTCTTACTTTTTAGGTCAACATTGAATAAATCTCATTCTAACTTTTAAAAGCAAGATGGGGAAAATGAACCCTGATTCTCACTAATCTTTGTTTCTTAGGACATCACTGCTCACTGGATTAAAAACAAAACAAAAACAAAATAAAACGTCCACAATGAGTAATCTGACCTTGTCATACTTTTTTCAAAGTCAGTCAGTGGTGCTAAGAGACTTTAAGTCCTTAACATCATTAAATACTAAGCATTTATTTTTGTATGTTATTGGAAAATATAGTTTTCCATATGCCATGAACATGTTTATTTTAATTAATAAATGTAAATGTTTAACCCTTTAATTCTAAACTTCTTGCAAGACAAAATAATTAAAATATAAAGTATTTTCAAATCAACTTACTATTTTCTCCAATTTGTTCTTCAAGCTGTCTCTCTCGATGCAAACCTCTCGATATGCATGATAGGCCTTATTCACTTGTTCTCGTCCCACAGAACTTGTTTCTTCATCTGCTCGAGCTCCGGCAAGCTGATAGCATGACATTAGGGGAAGAAACCTTCAGTGAGTATTCTGCAGAATCACGTAAGTCCATCTCGTGATGGCTCTACATCTTACTCTAACCATGGCAACGTAAAGATAAAGCCTATGTTTGCCTATAATTAAGTGACTATTGACTCCCATACAATCTCACTAACAAGACAAATATAATAGAAAAAAAACTCAAAAAAGAAACCCAAACACATATGTTTGTTGCTCAACAGTAATCTGTACTTTGTACTATCTGCTTTATAATATATGTAATTATCACACTATAATACAGTAGTCTTGGAAGTGTCCGGGTATTTTCCAAATCTACAGTATCTAATTTCTATCACCAGAAAAGTATCAAATCAGACTCGACTTCTTAAGGAATACACATGTCACTTCATTAAATCTTACATTATTCCAGCAATTGAAATTAATAGATTGATGGTTACAAAGTACAGATTTTGTATGTTAACTATGCACTAAATTCCATGATTTTATTGAAGTTTAAAAGCATAACTATTATGCTAATATATGACAAGCAGACTTAATTACTAAGTTAAAATGAATGAGAAGAAATTATGATAATACTAAGAAATGACTTCCTTGCTTTGCCATTCCACCAAGTGAATAAGTTCTACCAACACCCACCCCTCAAGTTTTTAAATACAGGGAAATTTCTTAAGAACTCATTTCTTGGACTGGAGAGATGACTTGACAGTTGGGAGCACTGACTGTTTTTCTAAAGGATCTGGGTTCAATTTCCACCACCCACGTGGCAGTTCATAGCTATGATTCCAGTTCCAGGGAATCTGACATCCTCATACAGAGACACATGCAGGCAAAACCCCAATTAAATAAATTAATTAGTCTTTAAAAGAAAACAAACTCATTTCTTTTACCATTTGAAGTTCTTGTTTTTGTAAGATAATAATACAAACCTGATTTGAAGAAATAAACTAATTAGAACCTTAAAATGCCAGAAATAAATGTGCAGCCAAGAAAAAGTTTGACATATAAAGTCAAGTTAAGTCTGATGATTTAGACTGCATTTCGGCTACCTCAGATAGTATTAAAAAATGTAAACCTTAGTATGGGAAGTACACATCACGGTCAGCTTCAAGGGTTACTCCTACTTTCCCCAGGAAAGCAAAGAGAATACAGAAGTAAAGGGTCCGTCCAGTCCCGCTGAAGAGCTTGCCAACCACAGCGAAGCAAAGTCATTTACTAGGATCTTACTCTTCTGTACAGACTTGGAAATGCTGTTACAGGCATATACCAGGGCGGGGTGACAGCTCAGTTGGTAAACGCTTATTGCACAAGCGTGCAGACCGGAGATCAATCCTCAGGTTAAAACCCTGGTGGTGTGTGTACTTGTAACCCCAGTAAAAGGGAGACAGTGACTGGAAGATTCCGAGGCTCCCTAGCCAGGCAGCCTAGTCTAATTAGTAACCACTGTGACCTAGTGTGAGATCATGTCTCAACAAAGAAGGTGAACAGCTCCTAAGGAACAACACCCGAAGCTGATTTCTGGCCTTCAAATATATGCAGGTACACATGCGTGTGACACGCACACACACACACACACGGAAAAAAACTGACAACAATACATAGCAATGACAGCAGACAATATGAAAACAAGGAAAAGAAAATGCTGGAACAGAAAATCTTTAAGTTTTGAAATCTTGTCCTACGAGATTACCAAGCACATGGTACAACTGATGCAACATAGTTTAGTGGTGAACAATTCAGAAATTCTTACTTAGTCTTGGAAGACAGATTAGAAAATATTTTAAATATCAAATATTTGGAATTATTCTTTATGTCAAATATAATCAAAAGAAAAAAATGACCTTTTCTTCCAAAGCCCTTATTCTTTTCTTTAAGAAAGAGTTTTCTTTCTCTGAATCTTTAAGTCTCTTCTTGATGTCTTCATATGCGGTGACAAGAGCAAAATGTGAAGCAACAGACTCATCTCCTGAGTACCCTGAGAGTGGAGTCACCGTCTCTCTTCTGTGGGCTTTCTCATGGTCCAGAATGCAGATGTCATCTTCTACTAGTGTGTCCATGGCAGCTATGGAGTCGAGAAAGCAGGGAAGACAAGCTAGATTTACAACGTGAACACTGAGAACAACCTTAAAGCTATCCTTTCAGGGGGAGCACAGGGTAACTGCTATAAGCAAGCTGCCCAGGCTCTAACCCCAAAGAGAGGCAGAGGCCTGGACTAAAGTACAAGATCTCCTTTGAGGACATGCCTCTAATGATCTAAGGATCTTCCCTAATGCCACACTTCTGGAAGGTCCACAAGACCATCACTACCACTGTGGGGACCAGACCATAACAGTTGTGAATCTACTTAACAAGTGTTAAGTGTAAGGGGCTGGGTGACTTAGTGGGTAAGCTGTTATGGCTCAGGAAATATTAATAGCCACTTTTATAATATAAAGGATGAAAATGAATACAGATAAAGAACTTAGATCCAGTACTATAATCTATTACTATTAAGTTCCATAAAAGTATGAAATTACACTGGATTAGGGTTCAGCAGTAGAACATTTGCCAAGCATGTATCAGGTTCTAAGTTGGATCCCTAGCTAAATAAAACATGACTGTAAAATACTATTTTACCTAAAAGAATATTTTATAAAGTTACATATATTATAATAGAGATTATATATAACTATATATAGCAAATCTATCTACCTACCTATCTAATAAATGCTGTGATGCAGTCTAATTTTAAAGGAGGTAAAAACTGTATCCGCACTATTCATCTGACTTAAATATCAAACCTACCCTAATTGGATAGAATTTATTGAATTTGTGTATCTTCTAAAATCAGCTAAAACCAAAAACTAATAAACTGCTATACGAAGACAAGAAATACTTTTAAAGACCTGAGCTTTTTACACTTTTGTTTTAAACAAAGCTCCAAATAATTTAATTGTAATATCTGTACTCATTTTTACTATTAGTCATTCTCTAAGCAGAAATACAAAATAAAACCCACATAACTCAGAATGGCTTTGTACAGAAAAATGATTATAATGTATAGATAAGTAATATATCTGAAACTTCTAGAGCTAGAGGGATAGGGGATGGTTTTCAAAGATGGTACCAAAATGACATTCGTTGACCCTTATAAGGAGGCATTTTAACTAAATTTAATCACACTTAACCTTTTGACAGTTTGCTAACTTCTAGTAGGTGCACAATTTTAAAGACATGACAGTGTGAGGAGGGGGAGCTGAAAGGGGAGTGACAGGAGGTAGGAGACAGACCAGAGAGTAAGTGAGGTTTACTTTTAGGATGAAGAGGCTGTCAATTTTGGCCCATATTCTATAAAAGGTTTTCAAAGATAGCCTAGACACGACACTTACACTCGTTAAGTAGATCCACCACTGTTACGGTCTGGTCCCCACAGTGGTAGTGATGGTGTTGTGGACCTTCCAGAAGTGTGGCATTAGGGAAGATCCTTAGATCATTAGAGGCATGTCTTCAAAGGGGATCTTGTACCTTAGTCCAGGCCTCTAACTCTCTTTTCCTACCTTGATGGGAGTTATTTCTCAGTGCCCTGCCACAATGGGCCACTTACTCCCCCCAGAGGTCCAAAGTCAAGACACCCATCTTAATAACTAAATTTCTAAAATTGGGACCCAAAAAGTTATCTTTTACTTCATAAGTAGCCCATTTACTCGTATTTCACATCAGAACACAAGGCTGAGTCATATAACCACCAATCAACTACTCGGCCCTGTGCTGCTCAGAAGCATCCACTTTAATTCCCAAGGCTCCCTACAATAAGAGGTAGAAAGTCTTATTGCAAGAGAGAAAATTGGCCAGGGTGGGTCAGATTAGTGTTCAGCAGATGCTGTCTTGTTTTAGAGCCAGAGTTACTAATATTTTCCCCTCCACAATCAACCTTTTTTTTCCCAAAGAAAACCTTACATCCATCAAGGCCTTAGAAAACGAGTAGGGAAGCTCACATCTGTATCCCAGCACTTGGAAGGCTGAGCTGGAACGACTACTACCAGTTCAAGACTGCCTGGGCTAGAGAGAGAGTCCCAGGCAGTCTTGGGCTAGCTACAGTATGGAACCTTGTGATAATGTAGCTACAGAACCAGCCAGCTAGCCCACAAGTTTGATGCTTCTGAGTAAATGGCACTAAAGTTAAATAATCAAGCTAATGCTAATATGCAACATTTTAAGAAACTTGCTGGTACGTATTCTTATTTACCATAATTAAAAAAATACTTACATTCCAATAATCTTTAGCAACTTAGTGTCAAGAATAGACAAACACAGTCACTGGACTGCTGCTGAAGTCTAGCAGAGGAGCATCTCTCTAGCATAGAGAAAACTGGGATTCTATGTTAAATTCTGCAAGGTGACAACAGTTGCTATGAGACCGTGCATCTACCAGGCAGCAGGTCATAGCACTCCTCTCCTTCCTTCTGCTCTTAACATGCTTTCCACCTTCTCTACCAGGATGATCTCCGCACTGCTGGTGCTGAGATTAATACAGATGTCTCACGCAGGGCTGGGCATTCAGTCTCTAATTCTCATCACTTTGACCCAGCATGCATCTCGCCAGTGACTGGTGACCACTGCAAAAGGAAGCTTCTCTGACCAAGTCTGAGAGCAGCCGGATTTGCCCATCCCTGCAGCAGGGCTGATCGAGAGAGTTGGGTTGAGTGGTTTGGGCCTGGGGAGGATTGGGAAGCCCTTACCTGCCTGCACTGAGGTTAGGATTAGGTGGGGGTGGGAGTTGGACCTCGTGCTCAAACCAAATACAGGTTTTTCATAAAACACACTGAATGTTGTGATTGTAATTTTTCCCAATAAGAATCCAGACAAGCTCTATGATACAATGGCCTAAGGTTAAGAAACTCAAGTTCTAGTCTATGATCCGTCACCCTGATTATATACTAGTTCACTTCAGCTCTCTGGATCTCAACTTTCACAGCTATACATAACAGGCTTGGATTGTATCATTAAAATACCACCTCCTAATCCAAATACAGAATGGCAACCTGAACAGATAAAAAAAACCTCACAGTTGTGTCAGAAACTGACTGATAAGTTAGATATATTTACACTAAACTTGGCTAGAAAAAAGCTACCAACACCAGAGTCAAGGAAATCGACTTAAAGAGGTGAGTAAACATCTTTATGATCATACCTATGGCGCGTGAAGGAGCTGGGGTTTGAATTAAGGCCTACTGTGCACTACTTTCTAAACTGAATACTGTTTAGAATTCCCACTGGCGGGCTGGAGAGATGGCTCAGAGGTGGAGAGCACTGAATGCTCTTCCAGAGGTCCTGAGTTCATGTCCCAGCAACCATATGGTGGCTCACAACCATCTATGAGACCGGGTGCCCTCTTCTGGCCTGCAGGTGTACATGCAGGCAGAACACTATATACATAATAAATAAAATCTTAAAAAAAATTTCCATTGGCTTCCTATCTCTGAAAAGTTAGGATATTTGAGAACCCACTTCATCTAGGTCAATTAAACAGTGGGCAAAAAAAGATTGTCTTATGGAGGAGAACCAGGAAATAACAAGTGACTCTTTTTCTCATTTTAAATAATTAGGGGTAGGAATGGCTTCTGTTCCTTTAAAAGGGATTCTCAAGCGCCCTTTTAAAAAGATGCCAGCACTTCATCGATGCACCTTTCCAACCATATGCTCTGTAATTCATTAAGTCTCCAAAAGCTTAAGCACTATCAGATATGCAATATGAGTAATTCCATTTTCATGATGATCCTGACTCACGGCCTGCAAGTAGTCCAGAGCCCAGCTGCCATGGCTAAGGCTTTCAAGACTCAAGTACAGCTCTGTCGGCCTTCCCCTCATCCTCTACTGCAGTGCATCTCAACGCAACCAACACCTCCATGAGATACTGTCAATAACTATTTTCTAACAATGAGACAACTTCAATTCAGGGAAGTGCCATTAAAGTTAGGTTGGTCCCATTCAGAAGTTTATTATTATTATTACCGCATCACTTCACTCAGTGGGCACTACAACGACCTGTGCTAACATTAACGAAGCACTTCTGGTTTAGGCAGTTTTACACTAGACACTGTGCTTCACCGTATTTTTTGAAAGAGGTCTCACTGTGTAAGGGGCTGGCCTGGAACTCAGAAACCAGCATGCCTGTTTCCCAAGTGCTGCGATTATTTAGGGCACGTGCCACCCAATGCAATGTGTGCTTCACCTTTTAATGAACTAGGTAGTTCTTAAGAATTCTTTAAATCAAGGTAAAAACACTGAGATGGGTAGGCACATATCAAGTCACAGGTGAGGTAATTACATATGCAAACAGGTTGCCAACTCAGAGCCAGTCCAGCTCTTAGAGACTGTTATCTGGAAAGTGAGCAGTGTACTTCAGAAAAGGGGAAAGCAAGCAGGACTAAGAGGCTTAACCTCTAACTCGTGTTATGTGAACAGATGGAAAATTCAATGCTTACAGCCCAGGGCTTTTGATCTAATCCACTGCCGTTTCCCATGACAGCATGCTGGCTCTTGGATATTAAACGCTCACATTTGCATGAAAACGAGCATTTACGAACCTTAGGGCAATCAGTATTTTGTAGCGATCCAGTAAATAATCCCAACTATTCCCAGTTTGAGAAGAAGGAGTGAGTACCGCGGACTGGGTCACGACATTTTTGGAGAACTAGAAATGAAACTGCTTTAAGATTTTGTTCACTCCAACTAAAAACTCAAACGGGGGGGGGGGGGGGCGGGACGGGGGATGTCTTCTGTATTTAAAGAGCAGAGGCCAATTTCAACCCCAGTGGTCAATGTTTTTGATTATCGTATTATTTTGTTCTGAGCAATTTATGTTCTGATTTGTAGTAGCTTCCATGGGTAGTCTATCTCACCTCTAAGAACCGGGTTCCCGGTGAGGAGGACTGGAGTGCTAGCCTACCTTGCAATACAGCCAAAAAAGGACTGACGGTCACTGCCCAGACGCCATTGACAGTACCCGTGTCCCTTTCCCTTTCCGACATAAATGCCACCTCAGTGCAGGAAATAAAACTGAAAGTATTCCCAGTCGATCAAAGTACGGCCGTGAAGGCTTGGGAAGAGCCTGTGGCAGCCGGGCGGTGGGGATGACAGGGGCTGGGGATGCTACGCTGGGCCGCTCCGTACCGCAGAGGGGCGCCGGGGACAGAAGACGACGTGTGTGTGGCCAGGCGACAGCCACCAGGCCGGTCCAGGCCGTCTGCACCCTCCCGGCGAGCGCGAGCGATCCACTCACCCTGAACCCTGGCTACGTAGGGCCGCCCCCAAGGCCACCGGGTTTCGCTTCCCCAGTGTTTGGAAACCGACTGAAAACAAACCGGGTCGCCAGGGGTCACCACGGGCTTCCGGTTTCCTCGAAGACACCGCCGCTCCCCTCGTCAAGGTGGCCGCCGCAGGTGTACCGAGGGAGTCCCATGTCTTCGGCCGCGGCTCCCGCAGGCCTGTCGTCGGGGGGCCAGGGAGGTCACGGGCGAGCCGAGCAGGAGCGGCCCGGGGCCGCCCGAGCAGGCCCGTTACCCAGCAGCACGCGCGCCAGCTCGGCTGACGAGAGGTTTCTAGAAGGGGCCACGAACGCCCCGCAGCCCACAAAGGTGTCGCCGCTGCACACACCCTGTGAACCAGCGCAGGGCGACGAAACCGGAAGCGGGACCTGAAGGATCTGCGGGCACCGCGGAGCGGCGCTCTGGCCGGGAAGGGCGGGGCGTACTACAAGTCCCATGAGCCTCTGCGCGGGCGCGCGGGGGGGGCGGTGCACCACGAGTCCCGTGAGCCTCCGCGGCGGGGCGCACTACGAGTCCCAGTGGTCTCCGCGGCGGGAGCGGGGTGAGTCGTCGCAGCGGGCCGCGGGGAGGCGGAGTGGAGCTGGGAAAGTCGCGGGCCGGCTGCAGCGGGGCTGAGGCCCGTGTTCAGGGCGCCCTCTAGCGCGTCCTTTCCACTCGGCGGCCTCGCTGGTACCGGAAGGTGGGTGGCTGCGGCTCGGCTTGGCGGCGTCTGGCGTGGTGTCTGCTAACCCGCGAGCTGACGTGCGTCCGCGCTCCCTGGAACCCATGCAGGCCCCGTGTTGCGGGTCGCGCGGCGATCTCCCTGGGTGTCCTGTGAAGCGAGGTCGCTGTGTATTTCCCACGCCCCTCACTGGCTCAGTTGGGGTTCCGGAATCCTCTTCAGTGACGTAGGAGAAGAGGGGACCATGGCCAACTTTGGCTTGTTCTGGCTTCCTTAGAGTTGCCCCCCCCCCCCTTCGCCCCTTGGTTATTTCTAGGTAACAGCCTGTCTTTTTTTTTTTTTTTTTTTTGAGGCAGGGTCTTATGCATCCCAGGGTGGCTACAAACACACGTTTTCCAACACCAGGTGAAGAATGAGCATCCATTAATTCTCGCTGTCTATAGCTGACTAAATCGTTTCCTTTTTCTCGTTTTCCTTTCTTTCTTTCGTTCGTTTTTTCGTTCTTTCTCCCTTTCTTTTTCTTTTCCCCCTTTTTCTTATTTCCCTTTTTTTTTTCTTTCTCCTCCTCTCCGTCCTTCCCTTCCTCCTCCCTCTCTCCCTTTCGGACCTGGAAGGCTTCAAGTAGCCCAGACTGGCCTTTAGACTCTTGAATTTCTTGGTCCTTGTGCTTCCACCTCCCAGGTGCTGGGTTCACACACATTACCAAACTCTGTGCAGCTCTAGAGATTGAACCCGAGGTCTTGTGCATGCTGGGTAAGCATTCTACCTCACTGCCTCTCTTGAGGACAATGGATTGTGTGCTTAGGTATAGATAAGTTAATTACAATCTTGGGGAGTCACAGACAGAAGAAGCCCACAGGCTCCAGATTATTTCCGGTTAACTGTGAGAGTCAGTTATAGAAAGTTAACGTCCATGCCTGCCGACTAGAAAAGCTCATGTTTCTTGGTACATTCTTAAATACTATTTTGTCAACTGGAACCTTAAACGTTGTCAGTGTTCTGTAGGAAGGTCTCAGGATATAACACTGTCTCTGGGTAGGTACCTTTTTCACTGGAGTAGATCTGCATTTGAACAAACAAAATAGATGGACCCTGGCATAACTCGTGACTGTGATGCAGCTCTCTTTGGGGCAGATACTTATTTTTATGATTATACAAGTCTTATTTTGATTAATTAGCTTGCTTGAGCAATGAAAAAACTTTTAAAGTGTTTCTGTTTTTAATGTGTGTGGTGCTTTGCCTGCTTGTGTATATTCATGCAGTACACATGGAGGCCAGAAGAGGGCACTGTATCACTGCCATCAGGAGTTTGCATAAGTTGTGAGCCTCCCTGTAGGTGCTGAGAATTGAGCCTAGGTCCTTGGGAAGAGCAGGCAGTGCTCTTAACCACTGGGCCGTCTATCTAGCGCCAACTTTTTTGTTTTAATTTTTTTTTAAGTGCTTCATCTCTGAAAAATGCTTTAGTATGAATCATGTTTTTAGAGAAATAAAATTTTCAGTGAGTTTCTATATATAAGTTGTATACTGAAATTTCATCATTCCACCCTCTGGATCATATATTCTGTGGTCTGTTCTATATTCTGAATACTGTATTCTTTGTGGACCTTGTTAGACGCGATTCTTAATGTCAGCTGAACAGAATTAAGGTGTCAGAATTGCCACATTGTAAGAGCGGAGTCTTCCTGTTGGTACCGTCCTCAATGCCATGCTGTCAGTGCATTTTAGAAGCATTCTCTCTATATGTCTTACATACAGACAAAGTCTTCTAGGGAGGGAATAGTTTTAATAAAAATATTAAGTATTAAAACAGTTTTTAAAATACTAGCAAAATCAAAGAACTTGGTATATAAGAAAACTTGATGTATAAGTTACTTTTCTCATTGTTGTAGCAAAAAAAAAAATCCTCGGCAAAAAGTGATTTAAGGAAGGACGAGTTTATTTTGACTGACAGCTTAAGGGTGCAGTGCATCATAGTGGGGAGGCATGGAGACAGGTGACTGGTCACTTTGTGGCTGCAGTCAGGAAACACAGAGGGAGGAGTGCCAGTGTTTGCTGCCTTCACCATTCTTATTCAGTCTGGTGTCCTGGTACATTGAATGTTGCTGCTGCCCACATTAGGTTAGCTCTTCCTTCCTGTGTAGCCCAGTCTAGACAGCCTCACCTTAGGCCAGGGCTTCCTTCCTGTGTAGCCCAGTCTAGACAGGCTCACATTAGGCTAGGGCTTCCTTCCTGTGTAGCCCAGTCTAGAGAGCCTCACCTTAGGCCAGGGCTTCCTTCCTGTGTAGCCCAGACAGCCTCACAGACACATCCAGAGGTTGGTTTCCATGGTGATGTTAAATTCCATTTAGTCGACAATCAAGATTAACCAACACATCCCTTGCCAATCTGACAAACATGTCAATTTAAGTTGTAACATTCCATCCCTGTCCCCTAGTGTTTCATTTTCATCTCATAATGAAAAATACACTTACTCTACCTTTGAATGTCTCTATCATCTTTCACAGTACTGACATTGTTCAAAAGCGTAAGGGCAGAGTCTCTTCTGGGACCAAATCATTTAACTGTAACATACCCCCTTTTACATGAAAAAAAAAGAATCAAAAGAAACAAACAAAAACCAAAACATGTACGTCTAGCATGCAATAAATAATTCCACAGAATAAATAGTTCTATCCCAAAAGGGAGGGATAGGCATATTATAAGGAAAAGTCATACCAAAGTAAGATCAAAACCCCTCATGGTAAACACCAAGCCCCTTAGCTCCATGTCCAACATCTGGGTCTGGTGATAGACTCATCTGTGTTCCAAAAGGACTTTTGTATTCCCGACCAGCTCTTCTGCCTGCAGCAACATCGCCTTTCTCTTGGGCCTTCTCTACTTTGTACCAGCGGCTTTTCTCAGCAGACAACCAACCTTCCTGACAATTATACAACCTTGGGTCTCCATTGTAATTTAGGCTTCATCTTCACAGCTTCATGCTGTGGCCAGTGGCTCTCTGAAATGTCCCTCTCAACCTTGCATCTTTTATGCCTGCCAAACCAGTACCATATGGACAGCACTGCCAGTTTTGCTACCAACTGAATCTGACCCCCTTGAACCACAGTTACAACAGCTTATCTGCATTGCTGTGACAAAATGCCTGGAAAAGCATCTTAAGAGAAAATTTACTTCAGACTTTAGCTCACAGTGTGAGGGAATCATGTCAAGAAAGTCATGAGGCAGCTGTTAGATTTATTTCATCCACAACTGGAAGCAGAGAGATAAAACTTGGTGCCCAGCTCTCTTTTTAAAATTTTTTAGTCAAGGACTGTCACCTAAGGGATGATACCAAACATGGTTTGTCTTTCCTTCTCAGTTAACCCAGCCTAAAAACTCCCTAGCCAGATATCTGTTTCCATGTAATTCTAGACCCCATGAAGCTGGCATGAAGATTAAGTATCTCAAGGCTACTAGGAAAGTCTCGGGCTACACAGTGAACTCCAGCTCACCCTCATTGTATCACATAGCTCAAAAACAACATAAAACAAAAAAACTAGCCGGGCGGTGGTGGCGCACGCCTTTAATCCCAGCACTCGGGAGGCAGAGGCAGGCGGATCTCTGTGAGTTCGAGACCAGCCTGGTCTACAGAGTTAGTTCCAGGACAGGCTCCAAAGCCACAGAGAAACCCTGTCTCCAAAATCCAAAAAAAAAAAAAAAAAAAAAACCAAAAAATAAAAAACTAAAAATAGAACTAGCACATGATCAAGTAATCCTGCTGCAGGGTGTTTTCCCCCAAAAGACTGATAATGGGATATGGAATGGGAATGTTCATTTCATTGGTGTTCTTAATGCTAAGATGTGGAAACAGCCTCAGGTCTGCCAATGGTGACTGGACAATGGAAATGTGGTATAAGAAGACAGTGGCATATTGTCTAGTCTTACGAAAGGAAGACCTGTTATTTGCAACAACACAGGTGAAAATGAGAACATTGGGTTATTTAAAATAAGCCAGGTACTGAAAGACTAAAAAACTACAGGTTTCATTTATGTGAGATCAAAACAGTCCCTCACTGGCAGCTGTCCTGTGTACGTCTATATTACATAGATCAGTTACTAAGATTTAAATTTGCATTTAGTATAATTTATAAAGTTTCTATGATTATTTTCTTTGTTTTATTAGTTTTTACTTTACCTTGGAAAAATTTTTAAAGATTTATTTTTTTAATGGTATGCATGTGTATTTATGTGGACATGTACATATAAGTATGGGTACCTACAGAGGCCAGAAGAGGGATTCTGGACATGTGGAGCTGGAGTTATAGGTGGTTGTGAGCTGCCCAGTGTGAGTGCTGGGAACTGAATTCTAGTCCTATGCCGAGCGGTGCATGCCCTTAACCGCTGAGCAGTCTTTCCAGCCCATCCTTGAATATTTCTAAAGCAGTAGACTATAGCTGCTTCAAGAAACCTAGCCTTTAATCATGTTGATGGATTTTTTTCCCTGCTACTTTGGTTTCTCAAATGGGATGAAATCCACCAGAATATTCACTATTGGACAAGATAAAAAATTATTATTAAGCATTTTAGAACTATGCTAGAAGCTAACCAGCAGTATCTGCATAAACTAGCCTCTAAATGATAGTCTCGCACAGATAATAGGCTGTTAATAAGCTTTTGTTGAATCATTAAGTGTAATCTAAAGTTGACTTATAGGCACAAATTTGTTAATTAGGTAAATGAATGAACAGTGAATGTTAAATTTGCATCATAGAGGAGATTAAGGATAAATACACTTTAAAGATTAGATGCAAACTAAATATTTAAGTTCATCATTTGAGCAAAAAATCATGAAAGACAAGATAATTAGCATGTTCTCATTCTGCATTTGTTCTTGCATATTTCAA